TAATAAATACACACATATATGCACAACTGACTTAAGGTGAGGCAATGGAGAAAAGAGTCTATTCAGTGTCTGGGACAACTGACTATTCATAAACAAAAAACACAGTACACAAAAATTAACTTAAAATAGATCGTAGACATACATGTAAAACCAAAGCTATAAAACTTTTAGGAGAAAACAAAGGGGTAACATCTGTAACTTTAGATTAGGCAAAGATTTCCTAATAGACACCAAAAGTACAATGCATAAAATAAAAAAGTGGATAAATCTGATGTCACCAAAATAAAGACAATTAAAGAGACAAAGTCTTCCTCTGTCACCCAGGCTGGAGTGCAAGTAAGTGGCATGATCATAGCTCACTGCAGCCTCTAACTTCTGGGCTCAAGTCTCAGTCTCCCTAGCAGTTGGCACTACAGACACCCACCACCATGCCCAGCTAATTTTTTTATTTTTTGTAGAGACAGGTCTCACTATGTTGCTCAAGCTGATCTAGTGGTCTAGAACTCCTAGCCTCAAGCAGTCCTCCCCCTCAGCCTCCTAAAGTGCTAGCATTACAGGGATGAGCCACCATGCCTCATCAGATATGGTCATAATCTTGATGGTTTCATACATGTATACATTTGTCAGAACTTTTCAAATTGAATACTTTATGTACACACTATTTATTGTACATTAATTAATACCCCAGTAGAGCTGTTTAAAAGCAAAACGAAAAAAATCTCAAAAAATGTAAAAGGAGCTATTGAACCACAAGACAAAGAGCAAGTCAAAGAGAAATTAATCAAAAAGCAATCAGGATGGCAAAAGATCAAGTAAGAACCTCCTTAGACATAGGAGAAGCAAAAATTAGCAGTGCTAAATGAGCAAAATAGGACAATTTAGAAATGGCCAGTCCCAAAGGACCCAAATACAGAACTAACGGATCCATTAGCCAAGAGAATACAGAGATTTAACTTCTAGCAGCAATCTCCAAGAGAACTAGAGTACAGAGTTCAGCATTAAAGGAAGAAGAAAAGGTTTCAGAATTTAAAGAAAACTAAAAGGCTTGAAAATCAACCACAAGAACCAAAGAAAGCCACTAACAATACAAAGACGTTAATAACTCTTTAAAACTGTAAGAAAAATGAAAATATTCCCCAAGAAAACTAGAATTAAAGAATGTATTTCTTTTGAAATACAACTAACCACCAAATCAGGTTACTAAGTGCAGACTAGAGTCTAGGGAACAATGGATAAATACCTATAAAACTCAAGGGAGCTAGGATGACGCCATGGCACTCTAGCCTGGGCAACACAGTGAGACTCTGTCTCAAAAAAAAAAAAAAAAAAAACCTCTTCAATTAAAAAAAGGCCCAACGCGGTGGCTCACGCCTATAATCCTAGCACTCTGGGAGGCCAAGGCGGGCAGATTGTTTGAGCTTGGAAGTTCGACACCAGCCTGAGCAAGAGCAAGACCCCGTCTCTACTAAAAAAAATAGAAAGAAATTAGATGGACAACTAAAAATATATAGAAAAAATTAGCCGGGCATGGTGGTGTATGCCTGTAGTCCCAGCTACTCGGGAGGCTGAGGCAGGAGGATCCCTTGAGTCCAGGAGTTTGAGATTGCTGTGAGCTAGGCTGATGCCACGCCACTCTAGCCAGGACAACAGAGTGAGACTCTGTCTCAAAAAAAAAAAAAAAAAACAACAAGAAGAAAGAAAAAAAAAAACCTCTTCAAGAAACATTTACCTAATTCATAAGTGACAGCAACAGAAACCTTTCTATAGATTACAAAACATCCCTCTTTATTTCCACAGTGGGATGACCCCACACTACTGAAACTGCACTCATTCATTCATTCATCAACTACATTAACTACTGTGTAAAATCATTAACTCTCTGTAGAACTACAGATACGGGCTCCTAGGATGGGTGCTATAGAGGATAATGCATTTGACAAGCATAGGTGAAACTGTGTCAAAGTTAACAGATGGATTCTTTGATTCTGGGTAAAATGCAAGGGCACTCTCTTCTCACAGGATCCAGAAGGAATAACACTGTTACTAATGTAACTAATGTAACAAACTGTCTTACGCTATCCCAGAGGTAGTGGGATAAATGTCACCTCTGCAGTTCTGAGAACCGTGGATGATGATGAAAGGAGGGGGCCTCTGTGTAACTTCTCTTTCTCTCCTGTCTTCGTCCCCCAAGCACAAGGGGGATCAGACATCATACTAAAAGATTCTGAGTTGAACCTGTGCCATGGAAACTTGATAAAGAAAAATGGGCTTCTCTGGACAAAACTTACCTTTCAAACCAATCTTGATACCATATTTCAGGCCCTAGAAACTTACTAACACGACCACCATTTTCGGCACTGCCAGCTGCTGCCAAAGCTCTCATGGGGCCTGCAAGCTCCCTTCTTAGCTGCTCTTCCAAGACTGTCAGCTCACCTTGGCGCCACAATGTTCTGAACTGTCAAGCTGCCACCGGGCATTCAAACTACTCCCCATACTAAGGTGGGACAGAATAGTTTCTCTTTCTTCCCAATATCCACCAAAATCCCAATCCTATAAATACAGTTGGTTAATTCTATTCATTTAAACCTTAAAAATCCCATCAAATAGATCAATTCAGTAAGTATTTATTGAATACCTACCTACTTACAACGAATCTACAGTAGGGTGTGTCTCAACAAGAACCTTCCTTCCTGGCCTAAAATGTTGGGTATCTTCCTTTTTCTCTATTCCAAACAAGTCTGGGTAGCTTCCTCATATACTGCTATGGACCAAATGTTTGTGTTCCCCTCAAAATTCATATATAAGAACCCTAATCCACTATGTGATGGTATTCGGAGGTAATCAGGACCCAGCAGTGGAGCCCTCATAATGGGGTAGCACTTCTGTACTTGGAGTCACTAGAGAGTTTGCTTCCTTTCTCTCCCTCACCATGTGAGGACACAGCAAGACAGCAGCTGTTTGTAAGTCAGGAAGTGGGCCCTCACCAGAATCCAAACACACTGGCCCTGATCTCAGATGTCCAGCCTCCAGAACAGCAAAAAATAAATGTTTTTTGTTTAAACCACCCAGTCTATGGTATTTTGTTACAGCAACTGGAGCAGACTAAGATGTACATCAAGAAATTCTCACCATGTGGTATACAAATTCAACACTACAACGAATAGGTTAACTGTAGCCTCAACTTGGTTTAGGCAAACACCTTAGGCTAAGGTTCTCTGTAGTTATATTTAGAATTCCATTTGGGCTAAGAAGGGTTATAAGAAAAGACTATTAATTTAAACGAATCTTTCGTTGATAGAATATGGAAAAGATATTTTGGACTATTCTCCCATCCCCAGCAAGTTGAGGAAAAACTAAAATACGGAAAACAATACTGCCTCCACAATCATCTACCCCACCACTCCCCACAGTTCGCATTTCAATCGATGCTGGCCACACTTCTCCTAAAGCTCAGTAAAACAGAACAGGTCTATGGTGACTACACAAATATGAATAACTTAAAAAACAAAAAGGAAACCACAAACTAAGAACATGGAGACCTCTTTTAATTTATATGGAACTTTTCATTTTCTATAGTCCATGTACTTTAGGAACTATGTTTAAAAAAATTCTTTATGGAATAATGGAAGGAACAGTGTGCCATCAACTACAATGATTCCAATTCAAATGAGACTTGTTAATTCTTGATTAAGGATTTGTATAGACTTGGACAAAGATTATCTATAACACAGGAATGCTACAAGAACTAATGAGCAAATGTTTGTAAAGCACATTGTAAACGCAAGGAACAAAGCAGAGAGTCATTCCTGACTCCTCCCTGTCCCTCCCCACATGCAATGATCAAGCCCAGTGAATAATAAACCAAATATCTCTCCATCTCCACTACCCTATCCTAGACGAAGTCACCATCACCTTTTCTGTAAGCCAAGGATCTGCAGGGACTGACTCGTGGGCCAAATCCGGCCTGCCACCTGTTTTTATAAACAAAATTTTACTGGAACACAGTCATGTCCATACATTTATATACTGTCTGTGGATGTTTCCACACAACAATAGTGGCGCTGAATAGCTGTGATTGCCCGGCCCACAAAGTCTAAAACATTATCTGGCGCTTTATAGAAAGTTTGCCAAACTTGAAGTAATGAAGTTATTAAATAATCCGCTAGTCTCCCTTCCACTCATGCAATTCACTCCCCAAACTGCTAGCCTGAGTAAAAGTTTCAAGAACAAAAATCTGGTTATTCATTCATTCTTGTACAGAGATAAATCCAAACTCCTTAAGGTAGCTTCCTGCTAATTCTTCCAACCTCCTATCTTGCCACCAACCAATCAAACCTTCCCGTTCGAGTTATTCTACCTTAAGCTCTTTGAACTCACCTTGCTCTAACCTTTGGGCCTTCTGCATGCAGTATTTGCCCCACTTGGGACCTACCTTTTTCCTTCCTCCTAACTAACTGTAGGTCACCATCTGGTTCTCTATGTAAATGGCATTTTCTCCAGGAAGACTTTCTTGACCCCTTGGGCGAGGATTAGGTGTTCCTGAACTTCTTTCATCACTGACTTTATTATACCATAATGCACATTTAATTGTCAAGCCAGGTCGCAAGCCATAAGAGTGCAGAGATAATAGGCTCTGCAGTGTCAACTATGATACCCTCTGCACCAGGCAGAGCACTCACAAATTTCTGTTCAAATGAATTTATTCTTTGCATCATTTTCTGAGACTCCAAAGAATTTTGTCTCACTGGTTTATCAGATATAATCAGGCAGACTTAACCAATTAAGATAAATAAGTCATTTATAAGCAGAATAGTTTACACTAAAATCTGAAAACCTAGAAATCTACCAAAACACAATTTCTTCTGAGTACAACTATTTGTGTGCTTATTAGTATGTTATCTGGGAAAACCCTTATCTTTAGAGCTTAAGTATTGTTCTAGATCATATTTAATAAAAATGTAATAAAAATAAATGAAGCTTAAAAAGTATTTTCCCATTACCTGTTCTTCCCTCTCCTTTTCTTTGGTCTTACTTCTGTAGACTCTAGCAGAGGTAGCATCCTGGGATGGAATGGCAGAGATCTGATGCAGTGGCATATTCATCCCAGCCTCCTATCCGGTCGTCTTCACGGAAGAAAGTCTCCACTGGTGGGGTCATTTTGGGCCATGGGTTTCAAGCTGAGAGAAAGTGAAGACAGAATAAACATAACTGTGCTAAAACACTTCAAATTTCCAAATGTGAGATTAGCATTTTATATTTATATTCATATTTATATTTAAATGAGTTACAATGAATGTCTAGGGAAAAATTGTAATTTCTCTCTCCTCTCTTGGGAGCACCCGAAAGAGGCTGATGGATCAGGTACACATATAATCAGAGATTAATTTTCCACTGGCTACTTAGATTTAAAACACAGCAGCATTAACACTTGTTGTAAGAATATTTTTCACGTGGGTATGGTGGCTCACACCTGTAATCCTAGCACTTTGGGAGGCCGAGACAGGAGGACAGGACTGCTTAAGGCCAGGAGTTCGAGACCAGCCTGAACAACACAGCGAGACCCTTTCTCTACAAAAAATTTTAAAAATTAGCCAGAAGTGTGGTCGCGCACACCTGTAGTCCCGGCTACTCAGAAAGCTGAACCAGGAGGATGGATTAAGCCCAGGAGTTCAAGACTGGAGTGAGTTATAACTGGGCCACTGCACTCTAGCCTGGGTGACAGAGTGAGATCCTGTCTCCAAAAGAAAAAAACAGTATTTTTGAAGTTAAACTTTTTTTCCATGATGAAACATTCATCCTGATACAAGCAGTGATTTTCCCTTAAAACTGCTGCCCTTGAGTCCACATAATGGTAACATCAGAGGTTAAGCAGTCTAAATTAAATTCAAGATGATCCATGTTTAACCTTCCAAAAGTCTACACTCTCTCCACCAGTTGCTGACAAACTTCCTATAAAGGGTAAGATAGATATGTTAGGCATTGTTGGCCAGATCTGTTCCAGCTATTCAACTCTGCCATTGTAGCATGAAAACATACATAAATAGCATATAAACGAATGAGAGTAGTTATGTTCCAATAAAACTTTACCTACAAAAAAACATGTGGCAGGCTAGATTTAGCCTACAGGTCTGTAGTTTGCCAAACACTGTTCTAACAGATTTCCTAGGGAAGATGTGGATCTTCGTGGACATTCCTGAGAACCATGAAAAGACTGCCCTTAGGTAAAATAATAATGTCTATATAAACTGTCTTGCAACAATTCCAGACACCCTGCATAGGCTAAAGGTAACTCCATCCTATATGCTAATCCACTATGTTGACTTATGATTAACCCTAGTTCCCAGAATGACTTTAAGATTTCTACTTTATCTACTTAGGTCAAAACAACCATGATGTTACCCTAATTCATGCCCTTAAGCAAATTCCCACATGCTCTCTCTGAAGCAAGTATATATACTCTTTCCCTGTGGTGTAAGCCCTGGGGGAAGTAATAATGCAGATGGAAATCCACCTGTCTTGCCACTGCCCAACACCAAGTTTCTGTCCATAAGTTCCCCAATAAAACACCCTCACAGTAAAAATACTGACAAACTGGATTTGTCTGCCTCATTCTTTGGTTTCTCCACTCCTTCTGCATTTGGGGGTTACTTTGTATATACAGCTGCTTCACAAAACACACCCCTGCCCTTTTTCTGGGTTTCTCCTACATTCTCCCAAAGTGCATAGTAACTGAATTGTGTGTTCTTTCTCTTTCTCTCTCCCCACTGCCTCCACTGAAATCAAACTCTGTATACAAAACCAATTAAATATAAATTATCCATAAAGTTTAATGGAGTAATGTTTCATTTTTTTCAAATTTTAACTGAGTATGGAAGCCTTAAACCAAAAGAATGAATCTCTAATTTGAGGGTTTTCACTTATCAACTGACTGGGGTTGATATTGGGGTGAGGCAGTAGGCAGGCAGGGTAAACAACAGAGCCTGACGATCCTATGGCCACATTTGACAAGCAGTCATTTATTCCACCTCTCCCAAAACTCTACTCTAGACCAAAGGCAGGTGTTTATGAGGCTGGTCCCATCTCTGATAGTATCACTAACCAAGCAGAAGAGCACCAAGACTCACAAAACGGATTCCTTCACACAATTCTCAAATCAACAAGTAATAGGAAGGAACAAAAAACTGTAAGGGAACAATATATACAAGAAGATTAGCTAAAATAATATTGTTTTGAAAAGTCTAATTTTGCAAGTGAGTGATTACTGATAACCTCCAAAAAAAAAGATCCCCAGGGAAACAGAATACATGATGCTAATGTCTAAATATTATACATCACCTACTCTAAATCAAGTCTTTGATGAGGCTGGCGCAAGACGGAGCTCTACCGTGGCCAAGAAATGGGCTGATTGTTTGTATTCAAGCATATCCAGCAAGACAAGAGACACTGCTGAGTTGCTTTACATTTTCTGGGAGATCATTATAGTCAGTGGTGAGCAGTTTTTTCATCACTAATGCATTAAAGTACTCTGTCACAAATGACAAACTCCATTTGGCCTCTTGGAATACTTAGTCAAACTGACCATGCCCAGAGCCCCACTACCTATCATGCCAATAGCTACCTGTGGTGCTTCTGATACCATCATCATTACTACATCATTGGTACATGCTCATGATAAACCTGGGAAGGGCTATTTATGCCAGAGAAACACAAACAGAAGAGAGTTTTAAATTATTTGCTAAGTTTAAAGGGACATCCCTCCTCAGAGCCACTTAAGCTCCTCTTCTGAGATGCGACCCCACTTCTAGGCAATAGACTTTAAGTCTGCATGAAGCAATCCTTCTCCTAGTTAGGATAAAAATAAGTTTACAGACAAACCACAAAAAGGACTGTGCCATTTTTTGTGAATGGTTATATGAAAAGAACAAAGCAGATATTACTTATAATATTTTCTTTACATAATTTCCAGAGAGCTGTTTTATAATAATTCAATTCATCTTTAATTAAGAGCAAGTTAAATCTCTGTACTCCGCCTAACAATCCAGGAATGAGGACTTTAATTCCACTAATGCTAACTTGGAAAATACAGCATACCCAATATGAACATTTATGTCTAGAAGAACTGGATTGCCAAAGCTGATTTAAGAAATTAGAGGCCGGGCACGGTGGCTCACGCCTGTAATCCTAGCTCTCTGGGAGGCCGAGGCGGGCGGATTGTTTGAGCTCAGGAGTTCAAAACCAGCCCGAGCAAGAGCGAGACCCCGTCTCTACTAAAAACAGAAAGAAATTAATCGGACTACTAAAAATATATAGAAAAAATTAGTCGGGCATGGTGGCGCATTCCTGTAGTCCCAGCTACTCGGGAGGCTGAGGCAGGAGGATCGCTTGAGCCCAGGAGTTTGAGGTTGCTGTGAGCGAGGATGACGCCACGGCACTCTAGCCCGGGCAACACAGTGAGACTCTGTCTCAAAAAAAAAAAAAAAAAAGAAATTAGAAATGGATCTGTCACATTTATGGATCAGAAGACGACCTAATATTTTCCTCTGATGTCAATTCTCCCCAAATTGATCTAAAGAGTCACAGCAACCCCTATCAAGAAACTGAGCTGTCTTCTTTGCAGAAACCTGACAAGGTGATCCTAAAATTCATACAGAAATTCAAGGAACTCAAAATTGCTAAAAACAACCTTGAAAAAGAACAATAAACTACAAGACGTACTTACTACTAAGGAACACTCCGGATTGCAAAACTTAAACTTACTACAAAGGAACAGTAATCAAGACAGTGTGGTACTGGAATAAGGATAGATAAAAAGACCAATAGAACAAAATTTAGAGTACAGAAAATACCCCCATGTATCCACGGTCAACTGATTTTCAACAAGGATGTCAAGATGATCCCTTGCGGAAAGAGTAGTCCTTCCAACAAATGATGCTGGGACAACTGGATAAACACATGCAAAAGAATGAATTTGGATCCCTTTCTCACACAAAGAAAAAAGAGACAGATTAGACATCATAAAATTAAAACTTCTGTGTTTCAAAAGACATCATCAAGAAAGTGAAAAGACAGCCTACAGAAGAAAATTTTTGCAAATCATGTATCTAATAAGGGGCTTGTAGCTAGAATATACAAAGAACTCTCATAACTCACTAATATAAAGACAAATAACCCAATGAAAAATAGATTACTCAACATCATTAGCCATCATGGAAATACAAATCGGAACTATTAATTATGTTCATAGTTAAAGACAAATAATAAGTGCTGGCAAGGACATGGTGAAACTGAAACCCTTATACAACACTACTGGTGGGAATGTATGCAGCTGTTTTGGAAAGCACTCTGGTTTTTCCTCAAAATGTTAAATATGTTACCGTATGATCCAGCAATTTCACTCCTAGGGCGTACACCCAAGAGAAATGAAAACATTTCCTCACAAAAAAACTTGTCCATGAATGTTCATAGTGTATTATTCATAACAGCCAAAAAGTGGAAATAATCCAAATGTCCATCAACTGATAAACAGATAAATGAAATGTGGTATATCCATTCAATAGATTCAAATTCAGCAATAAAAAGAAATGAAGTGCTGATACATGCCACAATATGGATGAAACTTAAAAGAAATTATGCTAGGTGAAAGAAACCAGTTACAAAGGACTATATATTATATTACAAATGACCATACAATAACATTTATATGAAATGTCTAAATGGTAAGTTACAGATAAATCTAAAGACAAAAAGTAGAATAGTGGTTGCAAAGGGCTGGGGTGGGAATGGGTAAATGGGAGAGGCTGGTGGCTTAAAGGGCTTCTTTTTAGTGTAATGAAAAATGTTCTAAAACTGACCATGGTGATGGTTGCAGAACTTTTTAGAATATAAAAAGCCATAGAATTATATACTTTAAATCAGTTAACCGTAATGGATGTAAACTATAGCTCAAAAAAACCTGTTTTAAAAATATATATGGAATTCACTAAAGTGGACTAAGAAAATTTTATTTTTTCCTTTGCGCTATTGCTAACGCAATTTATCCAGATGACATGTTAGGGTCACTGTTATCCTATCTCACCCTTCCAGTTTTAAGAAGGCAACAGAAAAAGTACAAAATCAGCAATCAGAAACCTAAGTTCAAGTCCTGATCCTAACTGTGTGATGCTGGGCAAACTGATGA